TCTTGCACAAACGCCACGTGAGTTCGGAGGCGTCACAGTTATTCAGAATGCAAGAGCGCTTCTCGGGAGAATTCAGGCCTTTTGCATTAAGGGAGATTATTCGTACTTCTGACATTATAGACGGAGAAAATAGGAGTGATCCTCATCTTCCACAGTGCCAAGAAAAAAGAAGGAAAAACAAGTCCAAGAGTCTAAGCAAAGAAACCCAATAAAACCAAGAGTGCGAAAATAGCAAAAAGCAAGCAAAAGAAGAGACAGAAATACAGAAAGCAAACAGGAGTAGACAAAACTGATCTCCACAGAGAACCTCCAAACGGAGAACCTCTTCTCCAACTTAAAAGTGCAAAACAAAGCAGAAGAAGAGAAAAAAAACAACTATTGTTTGTGACCAAAAATGTTCTACCTTTGACATCCGGCTACTCCCTACTCAAATGGTAGGGGAGACCAGGTGACGAAGAAACCTATGTGGGAGAATGGGCAGCAATAGCAGAACGACTGTCCGTGCCCCAGCCAAGATATAAAATGACAACAGTAAAGCAACAGCAGTAACAATTAAACATAGTACTAATCATGGAGGCACCTATAATATAGAGGTGGAAGCTAGTAATCAACCTCTAGTCTTCTGTAAGCCCCCACAATATGATGTTCTCCTTCAAAAGGAGAGTCTTCGATTAGCATAAAGGTAAATAAGGAAGATGAATATCATATGTAAGCAATCACGTTTCCAATCTGACATAGATCCCAGGCATCGAAATCCATGCACTTTTTGTAATCAGTGTATGGAGAAGGGAAGAAACCTTCCTCTCCCTTCCAAGTTTCCAAACAACTGGATCTCAGAGTGGGCATAAAGGCAATGCACAGAGAAATCTACAGTGGCAATGCAGTAAAGCAAACAACCCCATATTTATGAGAAAATTTTCAAATAAGGTATGTAGAGAGTATATAATATACACATACAGGTTGACCGAAAACCGAGGCATATAGGTAAGTCCACATCAAATTGCTCAGGAATCCGAACTACACAATATATATCAAGCAGGCAGATAAGTTAACACAATCACCTCTTATCTCTCAGAGTTCCTGAGAAATAGGTTCAACAGTAGGATCCCTGCGAGCAGTTCCCCTTCTGACCCATGACTGATGAGGCCTGTGCATCAAGGGTGGTTGCATGTTGGGAGTAGATAGTTCCAGGGAAGTCCAGTCGGGAACTTCAAATGGTGGCAGAGCCCAGAAGCAAAAAAAAGTCAGGGAGTTGGCCTGGGGTCTGGATTCCCCTCTCCTACGAACTTGGAGATGAAAGGGGTAACCACATCGATACATGACACCAGTGTGGGTGCAAGATTGCACCTTACTTGACTCCATCTTGTTTTGAGTTTTATCATCCTATGTCTGCATTAACTTTTGCTTCAAGATTCACCAACTTCTACCTGCATGAACTTTTTAACTATTCCAGAGGAAGGCCAAACTTTCTACATTCTTGTAAGGTGTCCTTGGGGATGGGCTTTGAGTGAGGAGAAGACCTTAGGGTATGGTGGAGGTGGGGGAATACGTATTATCATTCTTGCCTCTTATCTGCAGCTATTCATTGAGTACTTTGCCCAAGGCAAGGCTGCCCTAGTCTTTGTCCAAACAAGGGTCACTTTTCCTGTTTTAAGAATTCCTAGTGTCCAGATAATTATGGCACATACATTTTGTACTGATAATTAATCCTAAATCTAAACTGCAAACAAGTCACGTATACCTTCATGTTGCCTGGGGGCGGTCAACGCCTCTTTTATTCTGTTAAACTATACATTGTGAGTGTAAGAACAATGTGGCTTGTACCTCTCCAATATGGACAATATTGCTGTATGGTCAATAAATTTACCTATTCATAAAATAACTCAGAGTCTCGTCCTGGGTTGACAACGACACCAGATTCTTGAATCTTTTCCAGTAGTGGCTTGAGGATTCTGCGCATCTGCAGTGTGCGCCGGAAAAGGTCAAGGAGAATAGGGATCATCTAGAGCTGCAGCTAACGATTATTTTCAAAATCGATTAATTAGCCGATTATTAAGTTCGATTAATCGGTTAATCGGATAAAACATAAAATACATTTTTAAAAATGGCTCCAGTGATGGGACTACTAGTTTGTATTGAGATTGCAGTCCATCACAGGAGCGAGCTTGAAGCGGTGGAAGTAGAAATGACAAAAAAAAAAGTGTGGTGTGCAATATAGTGAAATGGAAAGTGTAAAATTATACAGAAATGAATGCAGAATGGCACCGGCTATAGAGGACTACAAATCCCAGCAATAGTACATTATAGCTGGCGGTATTCTGCATTGCGCTGTATAATGTATTATTGCTGGGATTTGTAGTCCTTTATACAGCGCAATGCAGAATACCACCAGCTATATAGGGATACAATAAATCCCAGCAATACACTATACATAAAGTGCATAATGTATTGCTGGGATTTGTAGTCCTATGTATAATATACAGCACAATGTACCATCAGCTATAGAGGACTACAAATCCCAGCAATACATTATAGAGCACCATGTGTGGGAAAAGTGCAGGCTTACCTGAGCAGTCTTCCAGCAACTTGTTTCTGAGATCGGGCCTGTATCGGCAGCTGTCATCCCCCCAGACCTGCTCCTCCTTACTTCTTCTCCCCGCGTCCCTGTGCCGATCGTGGATGTGGGCGGGCGGTGAGCGTGAGGAGGTGCGGCGTGTGGATGCGGACGGGCCTGGCAGCGGCGAGCGTAAGGTGGGGAGGAAGTGTGGCGTGCAGCATGGGTGGAGCCGTGAACAGGCCCAACCAATCGGAAGCCGATTAATCGATGATTGAAAAAGTTGACAACTTTTTCAATAATCGATTATAATCGATTATGTCGATTAGTTGTTGCAGCCCTAGGATCATCGCTCCATTAAATTCTATAGGGCAATGAGCCCATGCTCTGCGGAGTATATCTTCCTTAAGGTTGTAGAAATTAGTTCTGCATAGAGTGTCTGTGGGTCTAGAGGAATCTGACGATTTGTAGGGTTGAATTCTGTGGACCCTGTCAAGCTCTATTTATGTATTGGAATCTCAGTCGAGCAGTGGAACGGAGATCAGGGCCCATCGTCACCTCAGGGAGATTTCCTCTGACCTGCAGTGCCATGAGGGAACATGGAGACGGCTTCCCGGCCAATCAGGAAACCGGGCGGCCGGTAATGATACCAATAGGATACTGCCGTGTCAACTGGGCTGTGTATTCTAATATGTTCACTTTCAAGTTTAATCCTGCTCACTCACTGGGCAAGCTATGGCTCTGATGAAGGGGGCGTGTCCCGGAGACGCATCAACCTTAGTACACAGCGGTCAGTGTAGTCAGAGGTGTGACTGGAGGCTCTGTTTGAATCAATTGCCAATGAGGAGTCCTACAATCACGAGTGTGATGCGCTCGCTTGCCAACATTAACCCATGCACATTCAATACTCTTGTGAGTATATTTGCATATGTAACTTTTTATTATCGTCGATGTTCCACACATGAGAGGGGCGCTCTGTTTCTTTCGTTTCTACATATACTTAGGGATTCCCTAACCTCTCAGGAGCTGCCGCTGGATGTGTGGGGAGGTTGTTACGGATTGAAGGGTACTGGGATCTCTCTAGCGCTGAGAATAAGATGTTTTTGGGTGTCTCATTGACAGTGGTCAACAGAGAAGAGTGAATGTTCCCAAAGGTCACAGACAGCAATAAAAACCCTTTCCACTCTTTCCGAAAATAAAATCAAATTATTTTACATACACTTGACAGGTCTATTCACAAAAGGGTGAAGAGTTTGGAGAAGTGAACAATCGAGGACAACATAGCTGAACTGGAGAATTTTTCCAAATCAGCTGTTGTCCTAGATTGCTCACTTCTCCAAACTCTTCACTCTTTTGTGAATAACCCTGTCAATGTCAAGGCCCAATGTAATCAGAGCCTGGGGGCAGGTGCACATCTATACATTTGCCATTTGTTTTGTGCATGTTTGCTTTTAAAAATGTGTGTTTCTCCCTGCATAGAGATGTCTATAGGACCAAAATCATGCGGCATTCAACTGAAAATAGCTCCTGCGTCTTTTCGTGTGACAGGTGTTTTCTTACGCATGACGCAATGCTAAGGTGTGAACAGTCGCCACTGACTTGTATTTACTTGCATGTAAATACACTTAGGGTCCCTACACACCTTACGATTATCATACGATAATCGCGGGAAATCCCGCGATCGTACGATATTCGTAAGGTGTGTGGAAGCCGTGCGACCTCTACTACTGTAAGGTCGCACGACTTTAAACTTAAGGTGCCCATACACCTTGCAATAATCTGCAGATTTTCTGTGGTCAGATGGAAAAAGTGCAACAGATTTGCCCAGGTGGAGATTACTCCATCCACACAGTTAAGTGTAGATGGAGGAATCTGTTGCACCTTTTCCATCTGACCACAGAAAATCTGCAGATAAATTGTAAGGTGTGTGGGCAGCTTAACGGACATGTTTGAAAACCCGCCGAGCATCGTACGATGTTCGGCGGGTTTGTGGCATGTCCGTACGATAACAGCCGCACGGGCCGGTGTGCGCAAGCGCACACTGCCTGTTCGGCATTGCGGTCATCGGAAGCCCGCCCCTCAGGGGGCGTGGCTTGCGATCATCGCAGGTACGATCTGCCTATGCAACATAGGCAGATCGTACGTTTTTTTAAGTACCTTACAACCATCGCAAGACAAAAGTCTTGCGATGGTTGTAAGGTGTGTGCCCAGCCTTAGTTGTGAACTAGGCCTCAGTCTGGTACTCTATAGAGTTTTTTCCAGTCCAAACTGCTCCTTCCACATTCTAGAATCTGCACGGGTTCCAGCTAACGCTGCCAATGCAGTTAGGTGCCCTCCGCCGGGGACAGAGCGTCCTCAGTCCTCACTGCTCCTTCTGCGCATGCGGATTGTCCACACACAATAACACGCCGTGTGTGAGAAGCTGATAACCGGCGCGACCAATCAGCGCTGCCGCCGGGGGTGGAGTGTCAGTGCTAGTTGCTAGCTCCAGGACTCACCGTCGTCTCTGTGCAGTTCCCCCCCTTCCATTCCCAGTGGGCTTTTCTCGCATTCCCATGGGCGAGGGGGCGAAAACAACAACAACAACATCATCATCATCATGTCCGCCTCGTTGGTGAGGGCAACCGTTAGGGCGGTCAGCAAAAGGAAGCTGCAAGCGACCCGTGCGGCGCTCACTTTGGTAAGTACGACCTAGTCTTACGTTTTCAGGGCCTGAGAGGAGGTCTGCCTATCAGTGACACTCTCATTGACTTTATCAGGCTAGCAAATGTGCTGCCTGTCAGCAGTTATACAACGACCGAGTCCATGCCAACAATCCTATGTCTATAGAGAGATCGCGAGAAAGTATCAGCAGACTACATTTCCCGGGATTCATTGCGAGGCTGGTCACTTGCTAAGACTTATGGAGTTGTCCTGGTTGGGGTCACCGCTGTATGGGGACTTTTGGTTGGAGGGTTGCACTTTTTGTGTCAGGGTTTGTATACATTTAAAGTGGAATGTTACCCTATAATTACTTTAAATTGAGCAGTTATACAACACGTGGCTCTGTGGTCCTCGGTGTAAATCCAGGCCAAGACACTGCATGGAGTTTGTATGTTCTTGCCCTTGCATGGATGTCCTCTGGGGGAATATCAGCTTTCCTCCCACACTCACATGCTGGTAGGTTAATTGGCCCCTGTCTAAATTGTCCCTAAGAGCTTACAATCTAAGAATTGAGGGCAGAGAGTGCTGTGAGTGAATAGTATGTAAAGTGTGCTGCTTCCATTGATGCCACTATATACATACCTGTAATAAATGTACATTGATAAATAACTGCTGTCTGCATGCCGGTTGTCGAGCAATCAGCATTGGAAAGTGCTGGCTATCACCAGTGACAACATGCAACTTATGGTGTTGCTTGGCCACTGCCTCATCCTGTCTACATCTTGTGATTGCAAAGCCTGACTGGAGATTGGCTTACAGTGATATTAAAGCTTAATTTACAACTAGGAGGCCCATCTTTTGTATAAATGTTTTTCTTCAAGGGCAGGTTTACACCATTTTCTGGAACAGATCTGCAGTTCCAGTGCATTCCAGACCAGACAAAATGAGACGTGCTGTATTTTTCTGGTCTGGAACGGGCTGCGCTGGTGTGAACAGAGGCCAGAAATAGCATAGGGATACATTTGGGATCCAGAAACAATCTGCTCTGGTCTGGAGATGATCCGGATGTGGAGTGAATGGGTCCTGAACGTTTTCAGTTCCTTGTTTTCCCCTGGGTCCCAGTATAGCTCTGCCTCCTACCCCCCTGCACGGGTGCCTCTATCAGCTAAGCGATATCCCAACAATAATCTGCACTCCTAACTAATCTCTAAATATCCTGATCATAAAGCAGCAGTGTAAAGAAATGTACATAAATCACTTCTAATACATATTAAAACAAACCACACCGTACTTCATAAATACATAATATGCAAAATACATATACAAATCAAATATTATAAACCGTAAACTTTTATCCAATAGTGTCTCTACAATGTGTTATTAAAGTCCACTCCGTGCCCAGTAATGTGAGCAATCAATACAAGTATAGAAAATGTAAATAAATCACTCGGTTTCACTTTCTAAATTGTCCCACAATAATTGTGAATATGTATTTTGCATATTATTAAGCGCAGTGTGGTTCGTTTTAGTATTCATCAGCTAAGCGGCTGCTGTGGAGACACCCATGCATGTGCGTTCCTGGCCGTGCCAGCAGTATCTGTGTGCGTCCATAGACACACAGCCCTGCAGCAGACCACGTTCCTCCTCTCTGCCCAACAGTTTGATGGTAGAAGGAGCCTATGGCTCCTCTGCCCTCAGTATTCTAAAAAAAAACACCCAGATTTTAATACTACTGTAAGGGCCTGTTCACATCGTCCGATGTATACACGGCACGGTGCCATGAATGCACTGGATCGCATAAACAAAGCCTGCACTATTTGTTTGTGAGCGCACAACACTGGAATGCAGGGCATTGTGGTTCCACACACTGCGGGCAGGAGGCATGCCTGCGGTGCCATTTAAATTAATGGCACCACCATGCCCTCTCCCTCCCTAGAACGGGGGGGGGCTTTGTTTATGCAATCCAGTGTGTTCATGGCACAGAACTATGCTATGAATAGGACCTGAACGTGCTTCCTCTGTACCCTGATGCTGTCAATACCTGTGGGTTGTGGCAGTGTACACAAAGATGCATGTTTCTGCAGAGAACCGCTTGTCACTTTGTAAGACATGCTGTGGTGCCACTCATTGTTACGAGAGAACTATAGCCAAACCTTTTTTGGGGTCAAAGGAGGACATTAATAAATGTCCGCTACATTCTGACAACGCAGAGCCACGCTGTAGCCGGGAAAGATCCCGACAATACTATTTGAATCTACCCCACTGCCTGATTGACAGCTAGCTCTGCCTCTATCGAGCCAGAGCCAGCTGTGCCCACTCCCTCCCTTGTCTGTCCCTCCAATGAGCGCTCGAAGAACAGAGACAACGGAGGGCGAATACCTGCGGAAAATGTTGACTGACAGTAACTGCTTTCTGCAGGGAGAAGCTGTGGCTGTTTAATGTTCATGGAGTTCCATGACCTCCAGGCCCCACAAGTTATATCTAGGGGAAACTGCAACTGGTGTCCTATAGAAATCTTTTTGAATATTATTTTTCTCTTTTCATGCAAATCAGTGGCTATGGGCAACAAGAAATATTTCTAATACATCTTCCCCTAGGTGTGACAGCTCTTGGGTCTGGCAGTCAACCACGGTGTTGCATTGTGTGGAGTCATGTGGAAATGTCACATTCCTCTTCATACCTAGAAGTACTGTGAATATTACTGACTGAAAGTAGTAAGTTGAAGTATAGGAATAGGAGAAACCCAGAAAAGTTTTTTAGTTTTTTCAGCATATCACAAAAGCGTGCATTTGCTCCTTCTCTGGAGCAGTTTGGTCCAACTTTTCAGATCTGTTTGAATAAATGCAGTTCAAGTGAATCTTAATTTACCTACTGCATGTAAAAGCTGAGGCACAGGCATACTTTTGTGTTTCATTGGTTGGAGCTGCTTTTAATTCTTTTGCTGCCAGAGTCATTTTGTTTCTTATTTTACTTGCATATTAAAATTCACTTTTTAGGGCTTAAGTTCACTTAAAGTATTACTAAAGGCTAGGTGTTTTTATCTTAATGCATTCTCTGCTAAAAAAAAAAAAACGCCCAGTACCTTTCCGTCACCCCCCCCCCCCCAACCCGGCCGCGGGCTT